CTGGGTGAGGGGCTGATGGCTGTTTGCACGCTGGCCAAGGCCCCCAGTGGGAACTCTCAACCCATGGGGATGTGGCCAGCCTGGGTGAGGGACTGAGGGACATTTTTAGGCTGCCCACAGCCCCTTCAGGGTGGGGGGCCCTACTGGGGTGCTGGGCCAGCCTGAGTGAGGGACAGATGGCCATTTTCAGGCTGGCCTTGCCTGCAGGCTAGAAGCATCTATCTGGGATTCATTTAACTTCTATAATTGAAACTTTGCAGCCGTGGTCCGGCTGGAAACCTCGGTTGCCCCTGGCAACCAAGGCTCCTAGCCCCTCCTTGAGCAGAGGCCATGGCAGCTGGAAGCAGGTACCTGGGATTTATTTATCTTCTATAATTGAAACTTTCTAGCCTTGAGCAGAGGCCAGGGATGGCCAGGGCGGGCAGGAAGCTTGGCTTCCTCCATCGCTGGGAGCAACCCAAGCCTCCTGCTCGCTCCAGCTCCGTGGCCACTGCCATCTTCGTTGGGTTAATTTGCATATGTGCTCCTGATTGGCTGGTGGGCGTGGCTTGTGGGTATAGCAGAGTGACACCAATTTGCATGTTTCTCTTTATTAGTGTAGATAGCCTCACATTAATACAGAGAAAGAACAATAACCACTCTGAGGGGAGAAGGAAAGAGGGAGAAATGGACAATCAAAGGTTGAAGGTCAAGGGGAGCTGGAGTTCCTTCCTTACCAAAATGTACTGAGAATGAATGGGGAGGATGTAGTCCTTTTCTAAGAATCGTAGGAAAGTTCTAGCCAGGATGGCAATGGGAAGATAAATTCAGCAAGTTCTCACAGAAGACAGAAGAAAAGTCAAAGAGAAAGGAAGAAACAGATGTATCTAAAAAACAAATATTATTTCTTAGTCTTTAGAGAGAAAGGAATTCTTGAGAACTGACTGGCCAACATTAATGAAGAGCCACACTCAGACACATCCAGGGGGAAAAAAAATACACCTGAACATACTACAAATAGTATGCCATTCTTTAAAATAGTTTAATCATAGAAAAAAGCCTAAACACCCTAAATTAGGAATGTGACAGCCCACATTTTTTATCATATCTCACACCAGATACTTTAAAGATTAAAATGTATGAACAAAAAAAAAAGTACTTTAGGAAAATAAGAATAACTTTTCTATTTTTATAGTAGGGAAGAACTTTTGACATAACATAAAGGGAAGAAAACATTTTTTAAAAACTCTGAATTTGAAACACAAACAAAAAATAGATCGACTATGAAAAAACATTTCTAAAACAACTTATAAGTGATAAAGTGAAATATGCTTGACATATAAACTTATTTAAAATAAACCAAGAAAGATAATACTCTAACAAGTGGGGAAAGGAAATGAGTAGACAATTTAGAAATCCCAGTTATATCATTTAATATGTAATTTTGGAACAAGTGACTTAACAGAATCTATTTCCTCACTTCTCAACTTAAAATATTAGCATATTTCATCAATTCTGAGATGCTATTGATTTATACATCAGGAAAAAAAAATGCCATCAATGAAACTATGACTTGCCAAAAATTGTAAAACCTATCACAATGTGAAAATAAAGTGCATCATAGAATTAATGAAATATAGTCAGACCTGTCTTATGGGTTGTTATGTGGATTCAACAAGATAACACATGTGAAGAATTTCAAACTAAAAGTGGCTTAAAGCAAACACAATAAGTTAGTTGCTTCTAGCAGTAACATGATCCCATTCTGAAAACAAATTTACATACCTAAACATATGTGCAGACAAAATAATTTGAAAATAGCCCTGGCCAGTGTGGCTCAGTTGTTAGAGCACAGGCAGGCACACCGAAAGGTTGCAGGTTCCATTCCAGGTCAGGGCCCCGGCGGGTAGTAGTCAATCAATGTCTCTTTCTTTCTTTCCTCCTCCTGCCTCCTTTCCACTCTCTCTCTAAAAAAACCAAAAAACAACAACCAAAAAACTCACAAGAAAAAAAAAAGGAAAAAATATTCTCTGGTGAGGACAAAATATAATAAGGATAATTTGAACCCAGCTGGTGTGACTCAGTTGTTGAGTGTCAACCTATGAACCAGGAGGTCATGGTTCAATTCCCAGTCAGGGCACAAGCCTAGGTTGCAGGCTCAATTCCAGTGTGGGGCATGCAGGAGGCAGCCAATCAATGATTCTCTCTCATCATTGGTGTTTCTCACTCTCCCTTTCTCTTTGAAATCAATAAAAATATATTTTGAAAATATTAACAGTGACTATCACTAAATGGTGGGACCATGGATGACAAACTTGTCTTAATAAGTTTTGAAATATTTGCAAGAATCCTATATTATCTCAATCATTAGAAAGAGAACAATTAGGTTATTTCTATCTTGGGGAAAAAAATGTCTAGAATGAAAAGTGCAGGCAGGCATCCCAGGCTATTACAAATTTGGAAGCAGTCCTGGACAGTTTTTCTCAGTGGTTAGAGCATCAGACCAAAGTGTTGCGAGTTCCATTCCTGGTCAAGGGCATGTACCTCAGTTGCTAGTTCGATCCCCCACCCTAGTCAGGGTTCAAGCCAAAACAATGGGTTGATGTCTGTCTGTCTGTCTCTTTATCTCCCCTTCCTCCCTTCCTTTCACTCTGCCTAAAAATCAATGGAGAAAATATCCTTAGTGAGGATTAAAAAGAAATAAATTTTGGGAGCAAATAGGCTAGTGTATGTGACCCTGGAAGGGACAACAAAGAAATTAGGGAGATGGCAGTGAGTAACCTTATTCTGTTGGTCAACTTCCCTGCCAAATCACTGAGGCACATTTGGACTGTTGCAGGGGTGGGGAATGTCGGGCCCCTGGCCATATAAGGCCCATGAAATCATTTGGTCTGGCTCTGCCAAGGCATTAGGGGTGAATTAATTAAATGTTTGACCAAATATAGCAGGCTAATTTCTAAACTGGTAATTTTTTATGGCCTGTAAAAGATGCTATAAATATCCATATGGCCCTTGGCAGAAACAAGGTTCCCCACCCCTGGACTATGGGAATGAACAAAATCCAGGGAAGTGAAAATTCTAGAACAAAGCTCTGGTTTAGGCTTCTGTCTGGTTCAGGAAAATTCTCCATAAATGTGGTTTCCTTCTCTCTTCCCTTTTCTCTAAATCACTAGAGTAAATCTCTTAGATAGAATCCTGAAATATGATAGTGTTCTGAAAACCAAGAAACCCTTTCCAAGAAGAAAGTACCACATACAACTTACCTCTGCCATGGCTTTTGATGCACAGCGGCTCTTCTTTCCTCCTGTTCTGGATTCTAAGAGAAGAAAAAAGGTGGAAAGAGATTAGAAAACTAGGAGACAACAGGCTCTCCCAGGTTCCAGAAGGAGGCCCAGTTAAAACAAATCCCTGCCCCACCCCAGGCACTAAGAGGCCCAAAGCCAAAGAAGCCTGCAACTTCCACCATCCTCTCCATCATATCACAGAAGCACAGTGGCCTTAGGGATCCAGATGGGAGTCCTGTGAGAGAATCCTAGACTGTGGCTGCCTTCCTCCATTAAGCCTGACTTGGGGTTCTTCCAAGCCCGGTAGATTATACTGAGCCCAGATCTGTAGCTCCAAGACACAGGGTAAGTGGATCCATCTGCCAGAGTCCCCACACCTCTAGGCTGGGGGCACCTCTATGGGGCGAGATTCCTGGCGACCAGGGTGAAAGAACAAAAAGTACAAGTAGGAGGAGCTCCCAGGCCCAAGCTCTACAAACCGGCTGGACAGCAGAAACAACCTCCGGGCGAAAGCTATTCACCGGGCTGGAGAGCAAATGGCGGCGGTTTGTCAGCAGTGGCAGGGCTGGAGAGTGTAATTGGAGATACAAAGGCTGGAAATGCAGGCGGGGTCTGGGGTAGACGCCCAGAACCCATCCACCGCCCGACACTCCCAATGTTGACCAAGAATGGACAAAGAGGGCGCCTTTCCCAGTTCTAGGCCCAAAGGCAGAGACGGAGTCGTGGCCACATGGGATTCTCACACCAGGGCCACAGAGAGCTCCGCTCAGATAGTGCACTCCGCGTGTTACCACAGGCACTGCCAGCCCTGCGCCGGGAGTCGGCGCACGATACAGGTAGGGAAAGGGTCGCACGTACTTGCCGCCGAGGCAACACCCGACCTCCTGACACCGCCAGCTGAAACCACGTCCACCCCGTGCACGCGCGACCGCTATCTCCCCATCCGGCGGGAGGACACGCGGCCACGGCGCCCCAGGTCTCCCGGACGTCCTTTCTTTTACCAGCGAGGGCATGCAGCCTGGACACGCCCCAGAGACACCCAGCCCCGCCCGGGGGTGCTTCATGTCCACTCACCCGGGTGCCTTGTACTCCGGTCTAAGCGAATCCGCCACTAACCAGTGAACTAGTTTGTGAAGCGCTTCCTCAAACTTACCACAGGCCAGCCAACTCTGGCTGTAAATGGATATGCCGCGGAGCCGTAGGGAAATGTAGTCCACCGGAGGGAAATCCAGCGAGGGTCCGGCCGGCTCAGGCTTCTCCGCCGACTCGCAGCCCAAGCCTTAGTGAAGCTCAGTGCTGATCACCCAGTACACCTGAGCATCCTCCGAGGATCTGGGCGACCCGACAGGTCTGGGTAGCGCGAGGTGGCTGCTGAGGATTAAGAACAGGTGGTGGACCCTCAAGGCTTCTCAGATATGTAGCCCACAGCTTGGGAAAGGGCGGAGCGGTCCTCCACCAGGATGACCCAGAAGTTAAACCGTCTCCAACAGTCTTCGCCCCAAACTTGGAGATGCCCAGAGATCTCTAAAAACTGTAGTTAAAAGCCGGGAAACCGACTGTCCAGAGTTCTCTCCACAAGGAGCAGGGCTCTGAGCGCCGGGCCAGCAAAGGACTACTCTCCACCACGCCACAAACTAGGAGTCGTCCAGACCTGGGCGGTTCAGCCCTCAGAGACCCACAATCCTGGTCGCGCTGGGTGCTCAACTTTCAGCTGAGAATTTTTTCCCTGAACCTGGACGCCGCTGGGAAGTGTAGTCCTCAGTCCGGAACGCCATAACACTGCAGCCCAGGCTTTTCAGCACAATTTGAGCGGCGGGATAGTGGCTGGGTCCACCCTGGAGGCATCCGGGAAATGTAGTTTGGGCCTTGGGATTTGGGGATGTGCCCAGACTGAAGGCGGGCAGTCTTGAGCTCTGGGTGAGGGAATCTGAGAAGGGACTGGGAGGACAATCCTGGGTCCAGAGTGGAAATAATGGAGTACCAATACAAAACTATTTTTATGTTTTATAAATACATAAATACACATAGAAAGGCACTTAATAAGCTCTCTGGAAAGTTACACTAACATTTGTTAACAGTTTATTTCTAGGACGTGTAATTGTGATATTTATTCTTTTTACTTTAAGAGTATGCTCATATTTGGGGCATTATCATGTCCTTCTTATGAAACATTGCTTATTAAATTTAGTTAAATATAAAATGAGTAAGTATACACCCGAAACCGATGTACTAGAAAACAAAAAAGTGGACCAGATTTTTAAAATTCACAATTTGGTTCTAAGAGGTCAATTAAAAGAAATATTGATAAACAATAGCAAAACAAAAAATTAAATCAAAACAAAAACATTAGAAAGGTTAAACCACACAGCATTTCACAGAAATTTGAGGCTGTTAGGTATTATGTGCAACTCTATAACCACAGTAGAGGTAATTGTAGATTTTCTAGTAAAATTTAAGTTATTAATTTTAGTAAGAAGTAGAAAACCTGAATGGAACAATAGCCATAATAAAACTTAAATGTCTTAAAATATGTACTAATGAAAAGTATCCAGATGATTATAGCTAAGTTTTAGCTAATTTTTGAACTCATAATGATTATGCAATTTATTCAGGTCCTAGAAAATGATGGAATGTCCTCTAATAATTAATTTTGTCTAACTAATATAAAATCTGATAAAGACAGGCTAAAAGAAAAGTATTACCCATCTTGTATTAAAAGATAAACTGAAGCATGTTTCAATTTTCAAGAGTTTATCTGAGCATAAATAGATTTGAATCAGGCAGAGTGCTCCACCAACAGGAGCTAGTGAAGAGATTTTTATAGAGAAGACCCAGAAGCAAAACAAGGAAATTATTTGGTTGGGACAGCTTAAGCATTTGCCTTATTTTGGAAAGCTAAATTGGATATTTGTGATTGGTTGTTTTTAAATTTTATTTTCTCCAAATTGAGTCATTCACTCTGGATTAGTTTTTTGTTTGTTTATGAAGGGACTGAAGGCAGTATAGCTACCTAAATCTAATGGTGTCCTTGTTTAATTACTTTAACATTTGTAATTAATTACTGATGCAAAAATTCCAAATAAGAGGCTGATTTCAACAATGTAGTTTAAAATTTGTAGAATGGATTTCATTAAAAATTTCATAACATTGGAAGAACCGTAAGCAATCCAGTGACAAAATGCATTGTACGAACAAATTAAAGAAAAAGAAATATATATATTAAATGATGCCAATAAGATAATGTGGTAGATAGAATAATGTGGTATATAGAATAATAATGTGGTAGATAGAACACTTCAAGATGTCCAAGTCCTAATCCCAAGAACCTGTAAATGACTATGTTATTTTACATGACAGAAAGAGACTTTGCAGAAGCATGCATTAAATTAAGGCGCATTAGAGATGAGAAGATTATCCTGGAATATCTGAATGGCCTAATGTAATCACAAAGGTCCTTATAAGAGAAAGGTAGGAGCATCAGAGGCAGAGAGATTGGGCTTTAAAGATGGAATAAGATGCCATGAGCCAAGGAATACAAGTAGCTTCTAGAACAGTGATGGCGAACCTACAGGTCTGGGTAGCGCGAGGTGGTGACACGCGAACTCATTTTGGGTGACACACATCAAAAGAGACAAAAAATTGCATAATTCAAATATTTGTCTCTCGCAATGGCCAGAGTTGGGCATCACTTGAGTATAATATTACTCACGTTACTCATGATCAATAATGCAATTCTAAAACTGGATGTAAACATGTACATGGTGTTGCATAGCAAAAAGACATAGTGAAAACATCCAAGATACATTGTTCCAATATTGACATTAATATAAAAAGGTTAAGAATTGCACTATAAAGAGATTAATCTTTACTCATGACATTTTATTTTTACTCAAGTGACAAAATGCCCAATTCTGGAAATGGCCTCATTATTGTCAACATGTGCCTCTGGTAAGCTTCCTGTGCGTTCGGTGCATTCGGCAAGCGGACGCACTTGATTGCCATGTTCATTAGGAGACAGGAGTGGGAGGGTTAGAAGAAAAGGATATACAGTGCAACAGTGTTCGACGAGACATTCTGCGTGTCAGATAATTGATTACAGCACCATATATTTGTTGGTTATACATACTATCTTTGAATTGTTTTGCACCAGGAGTCAGTGCAACAACACTGCAAAAAGTTAATAGGTAAGAAACCTATCAACCTTTTATAAAAAACGCCGTGATTTATATTTATTTATTTTTGCAGCCTTGTGATGGAGAATCAAAAAAA